TTAAAACTCACGCCGGGCGCGTGTGCGTGCGTGCCCAAGATCCCGAGGGGAGAATGGAGCAGAAGGGATTGCGGCGTGGCCATCCCCCCCTGAGGGGTGATTTCTCGCTTTCTATGTCTCTTTCTCTCTCTTTCTTTCTGGTAAGCACACGCACCCTATAGCAAAAACTTCTCCAAAAAAAGGAAAGTAAAAAGCTTTAAGTAAGTTGTGTATCAATTATTTGTATGCCTGCTAACAATCATTACAAACGAGTTGGGACACCTTAGTTATCAGGCACGAGCACATCAGCAAAAACTCCATATGAGTGATTTCCTACCTAGTTAAATCAAAGAATGAATTGGGGCAACATATGGAGGAGGGAAGAGAAAGAAAGAGACAAAGCTCATCACTATTCTAAGGTAAAGCTATTTTCCAGGCAACAGTGCTGCTCCTGTTGGTAGTTCAAAGCTCCACAGAAATGTTGGTTACTACATACCTCTCTGCAAGCTCCCACCCAGAGACAGTTACCAACATGTACAGTTCATGTGGCCAGCACCACACATTAGCAAGTACCTGTAGAGATACCTCTATTCATTTTCTTCCCATTTGTGGATTTATATATCAGAAAAGCCTTAAAATATAAAATTGTGTCACTAACTTATTTTTACTATGAAAGTACTATTGGAGCAGCAGATGGTGTAGTGATTATGTTGCTGTTCTCCCACATGGCTGACTGCAGTTCCAGACTTGGAGACTTCAAAATCATGCCAGGTGCATGTGCGTGAGTGCCCAAGATTCCAGGAAGAGAATGGAGAAGAAGGGACTACAGCATGGCCATCCCCACCGGGGAGTGATTTCTCACATTCCCTCTCACTGTCTCTGTATCTCTGGCAAGTGCATGTGTACTAAGGCAAAAAGCTCTTTAAAAAATTAAAAAAGAAAGAAGGAAAGAAAAGAAGTAAAGAAGGAAAGAAGGAAGGAAGGAAGGAAGGAAGGAAGGAAGGAAGGAAGGAAGGAAAGGGCAGGGCAGGGCAGGGCAGGGCAGGGCAGAGCACTATTGACAAGCCAGCAGGTGATGTGGTGATTAAGACACTGGATCTCGCAAGACTGACTACACAGTTCAAGTCCTGGACCTGGCAGCTTGAGAATCACACCAAAGACGTGTGCTTGCATGCCCAAAATCCCAAAAGGAGAAGGGATTGTGGCATGGCCATGCCCTCAAGGGGTGATTTCTCACTACCCCCAACCTCCACAAGAGCACACGTCCTATAGCAAAAGCTTAAATTAAAAAAAAAAAAATAGTACTATTGAGTCATGGTGGGCATTTTTTATATTCCTAAGAAATCTTCCACATGTATGCTGTCCTTATAGTATGAATATCCGAATATCAATGTTACATACAATCAATGAAAGCTTTGTTTTCCTTGTTTGAAATGTACATGGTTGGCAAAGTCGACTATGTACTTCTTATATTATATATGTACATGTGTGTGTGTATAAAATAAAATATCTTCTAATTGTTGGTGCTTACTTTGATGAGTGCCTTGAAATATCTTCTGTCTACTCACGAGATAAATTGCTGTGCTTGCACGGTAAACAAAATCACCATCGCCCACAATATGTGCTTACAATCAGTCCAAGGATCTGAGATTTCAATCTGCACCAATTAGTACTCTATCATTTTGGGATTCCTGAAAACCTCAAATCAAAAGCTGAGAAGAACTGCCTACCAAAATGCCTTTGTATACGTTATTTTATTCACCCACAGTCCTTGAGAAAAAGTCAAGGTTTTATTAAGGATAAAGAATCAGACATTTGCAATAAAATGGGCTCTACACACACAGCAATATTTTCTCTCGCCAGTACCCCTGTT